CAGAGTTAATGAAATTACAAAAAGTGCTACAGGGAAACACATATTACACTTCCTAATAATGAGTTTAACTAGAAGACTTCCTCATTATCTACACATTACAAAAGAGATTTAGCGTAAGCAATAACATTCATTTTGGCAAGTTATAATTTCTTACTTTAGCTCTCTAGAGATGTGTCCATTTCTCTGTCAGAGAAACAAAACAGCAAGATCTTTGAGGTTTGCCATTTGACTTGTGTTAACAACTTGATGTACTGATAATGTTTTGCTCTTCTTCTATATTAACTAAATTGTTCTTGACATTGAAGAAAACAGATAATCCAGAATGTATTTGTATTGCCCAGATGCAGGAATATTTATGTCATATAGTAAACAGGTTTTACAAGACATCTTTTGAATATGAATTGTAACCAGAACATCAGCAGATCTTATGCAAATAGTGAGATGAAAAAAAATGCTAGATATTTGGAAATTGATTACTTAAAATATCTGACATTGTGTATGAAATTGTATCTATAGAGTTATGAAAAACAGGAGGAAAAGATTATATAAATTGCTTTTGAGTCACAATTATATATTGTAAAAATTGTTCCAAGTAAAATTGCCTTTTGCAAATGACTGATGATGATTTTGTCAATGCCAGTAGTATTCAAGTGGTGCTCCAGTTGTTTTAGGATTGGACACAAGATATCTGTTATTATTGGTAATATCTTTGCTTTTTTTTTGCCACAGTGGTTCACCTTCTATTTGAACATCTATTTATTCTGTGATTTTCTCCAGTTCTTTCTTTCAGTTCTGCTTTCTTCAGTTACTGCCACATCCTCTATTTAGATTTTCTTATCTTTCTTATCAACAATTGTTAAGTCTAGAGTAATTGCGTACTAGATGCTTGTCTGTTTGAGTTCTAGAGTCACAGAGCACTTTAGTTCCTTCATTTTCTATTACTTTGTCTATTTTGTGGTCCCATCAGTTCTAACTTGCAGGCAAATAATATTTCTTCAGATGTTCCAATGCACAATTTTTGTCATGGCATTGTAGTCCATCTGTCTTTGTTATGGAATGCAGGAGTTGCCTTGTGGAAAGGAGAGATGGAATAATCAGATAAGAGGGGCAGGAGCCCACAGTCACTTAATGGTTACAGAAAGGACCCGCCCTAATGGATCAATGAATTATAAGTAGTAGGCAGGAAGTTTCTAGTGTCAGATTTGCAAAATTTTATTGATGTAGGTTTATAATAAAGTAGAATTAGTTCATCTAGTCGGGCTTCTTATTTACCTGGGAGGGCTGACAGATTTCTAATACTACAGGTTCTTCTAAGGAGGGAATCAATTACTATCTGTCCATTAGCATACTTTTAACATATCAATTTGAGGTTGGAAGTTCCATCTCAGTTCAGATGCTTAGAAGACCATTCTTCTTTTTCCATGTCTGTTTCCATCTTCAGTATCTTAATAGATGCCGTTGAATTCTGCTTCTTGTCCAGAGGTAAAATCCAATTTTTTTTCCCTACTGGTTCTTTGGGCGTGTCTTGGTGGGCAAGGCAGGGGAAGGATATTGCAAAATCTCCATTCTCACCCCACTTCAGGGGAAGGATACTGCAAAATATCTATTCCTTCCCCTCCTGGGGGAAGGATATTGCAAAATCTCCATTCCCACCCTACTCTGGGGCCAGCCAGAGATGTTATTTGCCGGTTCTCCAAACTACTCAAAATTTCCGCTACTGGTTCTCCAGAACCTGTTAGAACCTGCTGGATTTCACCCCTGTTCTTGACCCTTTTGAAACTTCTGTAGGTTGAAACTGTTCAGTTTCTTTCTAAATTTTTTGTCTTTCTTGGCTTTAGCTTCTATTCTCTATTTTATGCCAGGGGACAGATATGCAAAGCAGAGTTTGCTATTCAGTGGGTAACTAAGGAATGAACGTTTCAGAAAGTAAATTTATTGTACTTGTTGTTTTAGATAAAGTATATTGTAAAATGCATATGGAGAACTAGTTGGTATAGTATATTAAGGCACCAGGAGATTGTGAGTTTTAGTTCTGCCTTAGGCACAAAGCCAGCTGGGACACCTTGAGCCAGTCATTCTCTCTCTCTAGGAAAAGGCAGTGACAAAACACTTCTGAAAATCTTACCAGGAAAACTGCAGGAACTTGTCAAGGAAGTCACTGGGAATAAAGACTGACATGAAAGCGCTTGGGCAAGTGCACAAGTGTGCGTGCATGTGGACAGACACATACACACACAAATAGGACTGAATAATAAAATACTTTGCATGAAGTTGACTCCATAGAATATGGAGTTGAAAGTTAATTGCTAAATTTGACAAGAGTGTGGTAAATTATTAAAGTAATGAATGCATGGGAATGGAAAATTTTGCAAACAGTTCAACAGTTAGGGAGTGAAAAATATGATATCTCCTTTGTTCTTTAATGTACCTATGGATGAAAATATAGAAACGCTTGCAGTCACATCATACATATTATATGTTGGGATCGTGTTACATGAACTTTTGAATGCTGATGGTGCTGTGCTGTTAATGAAGACCCAAATTATTTGCAACAAATGTTATATTGGATTATTTGGTTAAAAACATGGCTCTGGGGGAAAAAATGAATCAAAGACCAAGGTACTTATGTTTGACTGGCAGCAGAGGGAACCATAAGTAATACATAAATGGTGAAATAATAAACAGGTAGATAATTTGAATACCTTAGCAGAATATTTATAAGTAAATGGAGAAATTTTAAGATGTACAAATAATGGTAGAACGGGTGAGCTCTTGCAAGGAATGATGATTGTTTGAACAAAGGAAACATGATTGTTTATAATAATGTGGTTCTGCCCACTTCCTTGTTTCAAAGTGAGATTTGGGTATGGCAGGAGAAACCTAAAATTGAATGCGGTGGGAATAAAACACTTTAGAAATGTGTTTGGTAAGCAAGAGGAAACTGGGTCAAGAATAAATTGGGGCAGAAATCAAGTGATCATGAAGGAAGAAGTATTTTGAATGTGGTTTTGGCACACAGAAAAAAATGAATGATTAAATTGCAAAATAAATATATGAAGAAAGACCAAATTGGTTGAGAGGAAAGGCCAAAAAAATCCCATTTGGATAGTGTTAATGGAATCCTCAAAAAGAAATGCAATATCTGGGATTTAAAGACCAAAGAGGGTAATATATGAAGCAGTGTAATGTTGTGAGGAGAATAAGGATGAATTGCAAAAATAAAAGCATATGGAAATGTATACTTTCTAATATTGTTGGTGTAAATGAGTTTTAGCTACATTTTTTCTATTATTTATATTTGTAAGAAACTCATAAATGGTTAAATATTGGAGCAGGTAGATGCATTCAATTTACCTTACTATTTTTATTGCATTTTTGCACTGGGTGTAACGTTACTTACCCTGAAATCAATTAGATAATGAATATGCATATAGGCAGATAAAAGAGAAAAGGGCACAACATTTACATGCTTAAAACAAATATTTATTTGGGGAAATGATTGAGGTGTACTTGAGTAACTAAAATTGGCTGAATCCAGTTATCCTGGTAAACATGTTCAAAGATATAATGTGTAGTTCAAAGCAAAGAGTGATATTTGGAATGTCAGTAAATAAATTGTTTGAAAATATAAATTGCCATTTGATTTCCCTTTCAATTTATTTCTGAAACCCTGACGCAAAAACCAATTACCCACAATTATAAACCAAAATCATAGCACCCTGAGCCACATCATGAAATGAAAACATTTTATAAATTCATCATCAGAATAATGATTTTATAATACTTAAAAATGATTAACTTATTCTTGATGCCAAAGGAAAAAAACAAAGGAGGCATGGCTTCATTTTACTGATAATATATATGAACAGCCAATTTACTTTATTTAAAAATTACTGCTGAATTGTTAGTCTTAAGGCCATCTGAATAATGCAATCCATAGAATATCTATTCAAACAGCCACTGAGTAACATGTACTTTCCATTTTAACAAAACTATGTTTTTTTTAATAATGATCATTTAGTCATTACAGGTTTGGAATACTTTTAAAATCAGCAACTGAATGACTAAGAAAAATCTCAAATCACTATTATTTCCAGCAATTTCAGTGCATCAGCATATTAGAGCCATTAGATTCCATGCAATTACATTTAAGAAAGCTGTATATTAAAGAAATCACAAATAGGAATAGAGACTATGGCTCTTGAAATGTTACTGAAGTAGTATTCCTAAGTATGCCTAGCCAGCAGCATCCCCAATAATGGTCTCTAGCTTCAAAATCTCAAGACACAACTAGGCAATCCAAGTCCTAGTTCTACATGCATGCAGTGCAACACAATACAGGTAGTCCTTGACATATGACTGCAATTGAGCCCCAAATTTCTATTGCTAAATGAGACATTTCTTAAGTGAATTTTGGGCCATTTTACGATCTTTCTTGCCACCATTAAGTGAATCACTGCAGTTGTTGAGTTAGTAACATGGCTGTTAAGTGAATCTGTGAATCTTGACTTTGCTTGTCAAAAGGTCACAAAAGATTATCACATGACCCCGGGATATTACAACGGTCATAAATATGAGTCAGTTGCCAAGCATCTGAATTTTGATCATATGACCATGGGGGTGCTGCAACAGTCGTAAATGTGAAAAATGGTCATAAGTCACTTATCAGTGCCATTGTAACTTCAGTCACTAAACAAACTTGTAAATCGAGGACTACCTGTATACATTAAAAAGGAGCACATTTTAAAGCCAACAACCATTGCTGTATGGAATATATTTGTTATACTTCCTGTTAAGGACACATTTTAGATAGGAAAATACAAACAAGTTGACTTTGAAATGTTTCAAAGGATTTTCTCTCCTGTATAGCGAAAAAAATGCTACAGAGGGTTTTTGTTATTGGCATATACTGTTTTACGTAAGATCAATGTAATCTTTAACTAGTTGCCATTTCTAATCAGATGCAAGTTGACACAAAGTAATTCAGGATACTCAACAAAAATGTTAAAATCTTATTTTATTAAAGATCAAAGATATGTGTTTCAGATCACAAACATATTGCACTATTTCAGTATTTCACATGATACAGATTATAAAATCATTATAAAGTTTTTATATGCACCAAGTCTGAAAATGCTAAACTTTTTTTTTTCAAAATCAGACCCTGAAAGCAAAGCAGTTTTTATACATATGTGTAAAGGGTTGTGCGTTCCTTCCATTAAGTTGGATGTAGTGGCTGTACAGAAATGGCAGGGAAATTTTTTTGGGGGGGGGCATCAAGGAAACAAAATAATATAATGAGTATATATAATGATATTTAAACTACATAGATTCCTTTATGTTCAATGTTCCCCAAAACGAAAGAGACTACTCAAAACTGCATTGGTTATTGTAGTTTTAAAAAAATTCCTTTTCAACATAGAGAAATTCCTGGGAATTATTTAAACATTCTCTCCCTAGACCCCATAATACAAATGATGGCTTCCAGGCAGTGGTGGGATTCAAATTTTTTTACTACCAGTTCTGTGGGCATGGCTTGGTGGCGTGGCAGGGGAAGGATACTATAACATCTCCATTCCCTCCCCAATCCAGGGGAAGGTTACTGCAAAATCCCCATTTCCTCCCGATCAGCTGGGACTCGGGAGGCATAGAATAGATGGGGCGGGGCCAGTTAGAGGTGGTATTTACCGGTTCTCTGAACTACTCAAAATTTCCGCTACCAGTTCTCCAGAATTGGTCAGAACCTGCTGAATATCACCTCTGCTTCCAGGCCTGAGAGGCAAATTTGAATTTGCTTTTCTATAATCTAATGAAAACTACTACAGTACATTTGCTTACATACAGTTGTAGGATGACTAAATTGGAGGTTGTTACTTAAAGCTATTGTGAATCTTTATGAACCTAACAATTTTGTTTCAAACAATTTACCCACAGGAACATAGGAGTGATTTAAGTTTATACCAGAAACAAACAAAACAGATTTCCCTCATCTTCAAAAGAACGCATTCCTATTTTAAAGGGAAAAAAACAAGTCTCATATCTACTGAAAAGTTATCATTATTAAACTTAAAGATCATTTTACTACACAAATTGTCTACTTATTTGGGGATGGAAAATACACTGTAGCTTTCTAAAGGACAACAGAGACCAAAGCAAAGTGTTTATTTAGTATTTATAAGGCACATCTTTACTCAGAAATATGCTTCATATTAAACGAAACCTACTACCAGATAGGTATCCATGGTATAGCAACTTCTTATAAAAACTAGCTTTTTATTTAAAGGAATACATGGGATTCTCAAAAAGCGATATTGTTAAGTTGGGAACAGGTTTTCTGACCCTGAGAGGTTTTCTGACCATGGGAGCATTTAACAGATTAACAGAGTTGGAAGGAACCTTGTAGGTCATCTAGTCCAACCTATCCACCCAAGCATTTCTCTCCCAATGTTCTGAAAACCTCTTCAATCTTCTAGAACAGTGATGGCTAACCTTTTTGCTGTCACGTGCCAAAAGCGGGGGAAGCATGGGGGGATTGCGCGCATGTGTGCCCACATGCAATACCCTCCCGTGCCCCGACCCCCTGGCATGTGTGCGCGACCCCCCGCGCTTTCCCCACTTTTGGCATGTGATGGCACGGTGGGACTGGTAGGCCTGTTTTCACCCTCCCCAGGCTCCAGAGGCTTTCTTGGAGCTTGGAGAGGGCGAAAATGTCCTTCCTCACCACCCTGGAGGCCCTCCGGAGGCCGGAAACAGCCCATTTCCTGACTTCCGGTAGGCCCGGAAGGCCAAAAATCAGATGGCTGGCGTGCACATGCATGCTGGAGCTGAGCTGGGGCAAGGCTTGTGTGCCCACAGATATGGCTCCGTGTGCCATCTGTGGCACGCGTGCCATAGGTTCGCCATCACGGTTCTAGAACATTGCAAGATTGCTGCATCTTTTTATATTGCAAAAGTGGAGTTCTTCTGCTGGACAAGAAGTTTCTAGTGGAGGAAAGTAATTTTTCTGTTCGCTGATCTGGATCTGGATCCAATCCAGGCATACACAAGATTGGGTCCCATTTTCTGAATCATGCAGAAGATAAAAGGATATCTAGATGGCTTTTTGCTCTAAATTCAGTTGATCTGGCAAGTGCTCCTTAAAACTGTATGAAACCAGGGTGATTTAATATGCTGATTCTTTGAACAGTAAACAGCTTATATTGAAGAATTATGATGTGTTTACCTTGAAGATAAATTAATATCTTTTATTATCCTGCTTTAAAGCCAAATTGCAAATGTGATTCCTAATTCAAAAACTCAGAAGAAAGCGCCCCATTATTACAAAATAATCCTTACTTGCATAGTTTTTCTTGCATTCTAAAAACTTCACCCCAGTACTGTGGAAATTTACTTGCATCTCATGAAATAAAGGTACTAGTATATAAGGTACATGTCCTTTATGTTAAGCTAATACTGATCAAATTATTCATACGCTAATGTGCATATGTATACATAGTATATCCATATACACACTACAATAATAATAAGTAAATGAACAAAGATCAAGGAAGCCCTGTGTAACATACATACTGTAGATTAATATCTCAGTAAATTCTACCACTGCTCCCAGGTAAAATCATCTCCTCTGCCAAAGAGAACAAAAAAGCCTAAAACTGTAAGAAAAATTACAGCATTTCCAGCCAGCACAAGGCCACAGGCTCCCCACTTGATCTGAAATAGAAAATAAAATAAAATTAACCTTTCATTCATTAATACAAAATATAGGCTATTTTGAGCATTAGAGAAGTCCAAAGAAATATAACATCATGATGGTAAAAGCACTTAAGATAAAACACCAAATTTTAAGAACCAACAGAACTACTAATTATGTAATTAGTAGTCATTATAGAACTCATCATCTAATTTGCTAAAACAAACTTGACATAAAAACAATTACAAGTCCTCGAATGGCTCAAGAGAGCAATTAATGAAAATTTACAAGAAAGCTCATCCACCAAAGCATAAAGCTAATTGTGAAGAATTATTTGTAAGCTATCAGCCACAACATAAAACAGAAGTTTCCTATTATCAGTACAAATCTGTAAGTCTGGATTTCCCCTACTACAAGAAGTTCCTTACCTCACCCCAATCTGGGCTGAAATTTGAGAAGTGGAATAGAAACAAGATTATTTTTTTTAACATGCTCATTTAAATATATTATATTTAAATTATTATATTAGAGTATTATATAAGGTCCATACTGCTATACATCTCTTTAAGCAATTTCCTAAAATTGTTAATTCCAGAATTCATTCATGACTTGAATATTTTTCATTTATCAACTACTGCTTTCTAACTCTGATTATGTGCCAACCTGTCAGTATATAATTAATAAAAATAAAATCTTTATTCTGTTCTTAAGCCAGAGAATGCAATAAAAATACACAACCTATTCTTAATAAAGCTAAAATGTAGGCATAAAATACAGTAAAAATCACATATGAATTAATAAAGTAACAACAATACAGATAGTAGTGGCAGGCACCAGAATTCGTACTACTTTTCAATAAAAGACAGCACACATTTTCTCTATGATTCTAACCTATAGCTGCTGTGGCAGAGGTCCTCAACCTTTATGGCTTGGTGGCCCAGCGATGGGGATGGGGGGAAGAGGGGAACTGGCCCACGCAAGCGATAGGCTGAAGAAGTGAGATGCATGCCGGCCCACCGCTCATGCAAGTTGAGCTGCATGCATGTGTGCCGGCCCACTGCTCATGAAAGTCAGGCTGCATGTGTGTGCACTGGCCTTCTGCTCATGTGGCCTGGTTCCGAATGGGCCATGGCCCGATAGTGGGCCCGGGGGCTGGGAAACCCCTGTGCTATGGGGAAGAATTATCAAGCTGGCATGTTATAAATTATTAGGTGGAAAAGCTGCCATTGTTATATATGAACAGGTAGTCCTCGACTTACAATCATTCACTTAGTGACCAAAGTTACAACAGCACTGAAATAAGTGACTTATGACCATTTTTATACTTACAACTGTTGCAGCAACCCCATGATCAAAATTCAGATGCTTGGCAACTGGTTCATGTTTATGAAAGTTGCAGCGTCCTGGGGTTACGTGATCAATTTTTGCGAACTTCTGACAAGCAAAGTCAATGGGGAAGCCAGATTCACTTAAGAACTGTGTTACTAATTTAATTGCTGCAGTGATTCACTTAACAACTGTGGCAAGAAAGGTCATAAAATGAGACAAAACTCACTTAACAAATGTCTCACTTATCAACATAATTTTGGGTTCAATTGGAATTGTAAGTTGGGAACTACTTGTTATGTCGAAGAAAATAAATACAATAGCCATGATTTGCAGTTTAAAGGCCCTTAGAAAACCAGTGGACACCAATAAAGTACTGGAAGATCGTAACCAAAGTTAACGACTGGCTCGAAATTTTGGACAATTTTTTAGGCACATAGAAGTCCATTAGTTGTTTGTTAAAAGATGCCCCAACCGCAAAGAATTTCAGTCTACTCTTAAAACATAGCAATTATCATTTTAGGGTGACATGACATTGTTTATCTTTCTTCCTCTTATAATTTTTTTCCCCTCTATTGGTGGCCTGGCATGGTTTCTGTAAAGAGAATGTATATTTGTGCCAAAGTTAAAGGTTTTGTAACTAATGCAACAATCCCCATGAGAACTGAGAACTTTTTTTAAATATTGTGCAAGAATGTTAATATGCCAAGCTTCAAATTGTTAAAAAGGGAAGTTAAGAGGTCAAGCACATTGTTTCATCACATTATGTTTTGTATCTAGTGGTATACAGTAACGATGTATTATAAGACATATTTAGTTATAGGAACAGCACGGAGTTTGGAAACATCCATCGCTTCAAGGAAAATTTCAGAAATAGAAGCCTTAAATCTTTCAGCCAGCAATTATAACAGAAGAAAGTCTGAAAAGTGTGAGTAACATGGTCAAAGATACATTAATTCAGATATAATTATCCTAGTCCAGGTGCAGTTTGTTTGATCAGACGCAAGCTGTCTGTGTTTGATCCTTCATCTCTGTTTTTCATACTTCAGTACTTCCAAATTTTGTTAAACTATAATTCCCCAATTCAGATGTCACGGAAAATTGCAATTTAACAAACGAAGTGATGTCAAAGGCAGGAGAAAATGGGAGAAGGGAAACATGCACATATGTTCCGTTTCACATCAAACAAGTAAATGGAGAGGTGCTTGAATATTATGTGGCATAATGGATTTGGGATACCATAATTAGAAAGTGCACCAAAAGCATGTTTAAAAATGACAGACTTCTCACTTAGGTTCAAATCATTAATGCTTTGATGAAATATTATGAAGAGTATCATGGAGTTGTAAATCAAGCACACTACAAGGCATGAATCAATTCCTGTCCTGAGAGCAAGTTTTTCTTTACAGATATAATTTACTATCCTGTGAAAAACCAAAATAAAAGAACTATTATTTCAAAAGATCCTATAAAAATGTTAAAGCAAGACGCATTTTATCCTCTGGCAATGATGGACAACCTCCCCAAAGAAGTTATTAAATTTGGCAAATCTGACAAAAGAGAAAGAAATGGGGAGGCAGACAGCAGATAAATAATAATAATAATAATAATAATAATAATAATAATAATAATAATAATAATAATAATAATAATTTTATTTCTATACCGCCCTTCTCCTGAAGGACTCAGGGCGGTGTACAGCCTATTTAAAAACAGAATAGACATCAATTTAAAATAATTTAAAAGTATTAAATAGATTTGGCTTAATTTAAAACCCCAAAAATTTAAAACATCCAATTTAAAATTATGTTGCTAACCCAGCCTGGCGGAACAATAGGGTGTGAGTGCGCAGCGAAACACCCGGAGGTCGGACATCTTACGTATTTCCGGGGGCAGTTCATTCCACAGGGCTGGGGCTCCCACAGAGAAGGCCCTCCCCCTGGGTGTCACCAGCTGACATGACTTGGCCGATGGCACCCTGAGGAGACCCTCTCTGTGGGAGCGGACTGGCCGGTGGGAGGCTATTGGTGGCAGAAGACGGTCTCGAAGGTACCCGGGTCCTGTGCCATGGAGCGCTTTAAAGGTGGTGACCAACACCTTGAATCGCACCCGGAAGACCACTGGGAGCCAGTGCAGCTCGCGCAGGAGGGGTGTCACGTGGGCGCAACGGGTTGCACCCATAACCACCCGCGCGGCCGCATTCTGGACCAGTTGGAGCCTCCGAGTGCTCTTCAAGGGGAACCCCATGTAGAGACCATTACAGTAGTCCAACCGGGAGGTAACAAGGGCGTGAGTGACTGTGCGCAGGGCGTCCCGGTCCAGAAAGGGCTGCAACAGATGAATGACATCAAAGCAATGCCTCTATCTATCATCTATCTATCTATCTATCTATCTATCTATCTATCTATCTATCTATCCTGTTCCCAACTTATTTCCCTGAAATAAGTCCTAGCATGATTTTTCAGAATGCTCGTAATTTAAACCCTACCCCCAAAATAAGCCCCAGTTAAGAGTGTCAACCAGACGGATACATTTAGTACTGTATTCCCCTGAAACTAAGACCTAATTGGGAAATAAGCCCTAATGCATCTTTTGGAGCAAAAATTAATATAAGACCCAGTGGAAACATGGTGTCTGTCTGTCTCTCTGTCTATCATCTATCTATCTCTATCATCTGTCCACCACCCACCCACCCCCCCACCCACCCACCCATCCATTCACCCCCTCTCTCCCTCTCTCCTATCTATCTATCTATCTATCTATCTATCTATCTATCTATCTATCTATCTATCTATCTATCTAATTTAGAATCCACCCATTTCCATCACAGAGAGATGGGAAGTATTTGTCTATAGAGCTGAGCCCAATGCAGTGGTACTTTATTAACTAGATATCTCAAAGACAATTTTGAACCAGTGTGCTGTGGGGCAGATAAAAATGACTAAATAGCAGACAGCACCAGATAATCAAAATCCTGCCCCTTTGTACATGCATGAGATGCATGTAATACACATTAAACGGAAGGGCTTTCAGTCTTTTTATGTTGCTAATCCCCTTGGGAAGCCTATGCTTCTGTGATTAGTCTCCCAAGTATTGTCTATCAGATAATCTATTTCAACCAGATAATCTATTTCAATATTAAAATGCCAATGTCCCCATTTTTATTTTATTACTATATTTGGTCAAAAACTAAAATAGATTTAAATACTTTGTGCCTGGTTTTCCCACTCTAGGTATTTTCATAATTATTTTTCATAGTACAGCTAAGACGCTAAGACTGAAAGAATCATAAACATGCTTGCCACAGAGAAAACCTCATTTAATAGTGGAGTTTTAATTCAAAATAGATACGTTTTAGATTGTCCTTTGCATGCCATTGATACCAATCTGTGCTTTATCATCTTTATCAAAGATGATTAGGGGATTGAAACGAGCCTTGGTAGTACAGTAGTTTAATGCACCCTGTTATTAACACAGCTGCCTGCGATTTCTGCAGGTTCGAATCTTACCAGGCTCAAGGTTGACTCAGCCTTCCATCCTTTCTAAGGTAGGTAAAATGAGGACCCAGTTTGTGGGGGCAATAAGCTGACTTTGTATAAATATACAAAAGTATGAAGGCTATTGCTTAACGCACTGTAAGCCGCCCTGAGTCTCCGGAGAAGGGCGGCATATAAATCAAATAAAAATAAAAATA